GTCAATGAATGTATTTGCTTGCTATTGGAAAGCAGTGACAACACCATTAGGTTTAATCGTTCTTCTATCGGTGGTGCTAATGCAGGTAACACGTAATTTGTCTGATGCTTGGTTAGCTCATTGGGTAACCGATACAACATTGGATAATAACACCTCTAGCGATAATTCTCTGGATCGTGTCATACAACCATCCTGGTGGAAAGAATCTAACAATTCTACAACAGCTGGTCATACAACAGCATATTATTTGTCAATTTTTGCTTCATTGGCTTTAACGAATTCTTTAATGACTTTAGCTCGAGCTTTTCTATTTGCCTTTGCTGGCCTGAAGGCTGCCAAATATATTCACGACAAATTGGTTAATAAAGTAATCTATGTAAGTTTGAAATTAAATCATGGAGTTTATGCAACCTGTAACATTTATATTTATTCTAGGCTAAATTTAGCTTTTTCGATGTCACCTCAGTGGGACGTATTTTAAATCGTTTCTCTTCAGATACCTACACTGTCGATGATTCCCTGCCTTTTATTTTGAATATTTTATTGGCTCAAGTTGTGGGTCTAGTGGGTTCAGTATTTATTAGTTTATATGCCATGCCTTGGTTAAGTTTAGTTGTCATACCCATGGTTCCTGTATACTTAAGTTTACAACATCGTTATCGTCATGCCTCGCGTGATATCAAACGCCTTTCCAGCAATGCTTTGTCGCCCCTATACACTCATTTTACCGAAACCTTACAGGGTCTAGTCACTATTAGAACAATGCGTGTAAGTATACGTTTCCAACGTGACTTTCATGCCAAGTTGGAGGAAAGTATTAAGGCTCAATTGACTTCTTCGGCTGCACAAAATTGGTTGAGCATACGTTTGCAGTTGTTGGGTGCATTCTTGGTGGGTGGTGCTGGCATATTGGCAGCCATTACTTCAGCTCATGCCACTAATCCTGGTCTAGTAGGCTTAGCCATATCGTACGCTTTAAGTATTACCCACATATTGGGAGGAGTTCTCAATGCAGTGGCCGAAACCGAACAAGAACTGGTGGCTGTTGAGCGTATAGAACAGTATTTACAATTAGAGGGAGAAGAAAATGCTGAAGGCTGTATAAATCCTCCCTTTGGTTGGCCTACCCAAGGAGCTTTAAGCTTTAAAAATGTCCAGCTTTCCTATAGGGAACATTTATCACCCGCTATACGTAATTTAAATTTTAAAACAGAAGCTTTTGAGCGTTTAGCTATAGTGGGACGCACTGGAGCTGGTAAAACTTCTATATTAGCGGCCTTAATGAGAATAGCGCCTTTAAGTAAAGGCGAGATTACATTGGATAGTGTAAATTTGAAAACTTTAGCATTAAGTGTTTTGCGTGATCGTATCGGCATTATACCACAAGAACCGTTTCTTTTCGAGGGTACTGTTCGCGAAAATCTTGATCCTCGTTCATCATACTATGATTCGGAAATTTGGCATGCTATTACCAACTGTTCAGCAGCCACCTACCTAGTGCAATCTTTAGGTGGTCTCGACGGCAAGCTTGATAGGGGCGGCATTAATCTATCGGCTGGTCAAAAACAATTATTGTGCCTAGCCAGAGCTTTACTTAAAAATTCCAAAGTTATTTGTATAGATGAGGGCACTTCGAATCTGGACAACGATACCGAATTTGCCATGCATCAGGCATTGCGCTCATCCTTCAAAAGTTCTACAGTAATATTTATTGCCCATCGTTTGAATGGCCTACACAATATGGATCGTATTATTGTAATGGATCAGGCTGAAATAAAAGCAGGGCTCACCACAAGAATTGGCTTCTAATACAAATTCCCTCTTCTACAGTATGTTACAGGCTCAACATATTAGTATTGAAGAGTTTACGAATAGTGAATAATAAATAGTTTTCCTATTATATTTAGTTTATTTTTAAGTTTTTTCCTTCTTTTAATTAATTTTAATACTACTACATATTTATTTTCTTAAATAATTATTTTAAAATTTTTTAATACAAATGTTTGTTGTAGTGTTAATTAGAATTATATTTTAATTAATTTAATTGGTATGTGTTTATTTTTGATATAGAGATCAAATGGCAGGATATATTTAATAATTTTATGGAAGTTGAATTTACAGAAAAAATCGTTTTTAAATAACAAGTTTGGAACTGGTCATGTCATTACTAGAGTGATAGAACGTGTGAAAGCATAAACACTTCATATGTTTCGAACATTGTTGAGATTTTGAAGGATTTCTAAAGAGTTCCTTTTAGGAATCAGTTCTATGGTATGGTTGCGAATAGCTTTTTTTTCAATTCAATTTAAAATTTTTTTAGAACTTTGTGGAGATTGAAAATTTTGAATAAAAAAAATTCAAATTTAAGAACATAAATTACTGTTTCAGATCTGTTCCATAGGTGTTGTTGTTGTGCATTAAGTTCCTCAGAACTTAGTGCTGAAAACAACAATTTCAAATATAATTCATTGATGGATGAACAAGTTCTAGAAATGTTCCATAGAAGAATGTTGACTTGTCTCTTTCACAGATATTTTTAATTTATAAAAATTAATTTGCATAAAAATGCATAATAAATAAATATTTAAAAAAATTCAATATTTTGCCAAATATCAAAGTTTATATTTTTTAGAAGAATACCAATTTTTTTACAAAAGTAGATTAAATTTTATAAAATTTTAATATTTTTAAAAAATTTATAATATTGATATTTTTTAAATTTAAAAAAAAAAAAATTAAAAATTTCAATATTTTCACAAAATTTTAATATTTTTATAAATTCCCAATTTTCCAAAAATTAATTATTTTAATAAAATTTCAAAATTTTATAAAATATTCAATATATTTTACATAAACTCAATATTTCAACAAAATTAAAAAATTTTCAACAATTTTTTAATATTTTACAAGATAAGACTTTCTATAGACTAAACTATAGACTAGACTATAGACTAGACTAAAGACTAGACTATAGACTAGACTAAAGACTAAACTATAGACTAGACTATAGACTAGACTATAGACTAGACTAGACTATAGACTAGACTATAGACTGGACTATGGACTGGACTATAGACTAGACTATAGACTAGACTATAGACTAGACTATAGACTAGACTATAGACTAGACTATAGACTAGACTATAGACTAGACTATAGACTAGACTATAGACTAGACTATAGACTAGACTATAGACTAGACTATAGACTAGACTATAGACTAGACTATAGACTAGACTATAGACTAGACTATAGACTAGACTATAGACTAGACTATAGACTAGACTATAGACTAGACTATAGACTAGACTATAGACTAGACTATAGACTAGACTATAGACTAGACTAGACTAGACTATAGACTAGACCATAGACTAGACTATAGACTAGACTATAGACTAGACTATAGACTAGAACTATAGACTAGACAATAGACTAGACTATAGACTAGACTATAGACTAGACTATAGACTAGACAATAGACTAGACTTTAGACTAGACTATAGACTAGACTATAGACTAGACTATAGACTAGACTATAGACTAGACTATAGACTAGACTATAGACTAGACTATAGACTAGACTATAGACTAGACTATAGACTAGACATAGACTAGACTATAGACTAGGCTATATACTAGACTATAGACTAGACTATAGACTAGACTATAGACTAGACTATAGACTAGACTATAGACTAAACTATAGACTAAACTATAGACTAGACTATAGACTAAACTATAGACTAGACTATAGACTAAACTATAGACTAGACTATAGACTAGACTATAGACTAAACTATAGACTAAACTATAGACTAGACTATAGACTAGACTAGACTATAGACTAAACTATAGACTAAACTATAGACTAGACTATAGACTAGACTATAGACTAGACTATAGACTAGACTATAGACTAGACTATAGACTAGACTATAGACTAGACTAGACTATAGACTAGACTATAGACTAGACTAGACTATAGACTAGACTATAGACTAGACTATAGACTAGACTATAGACTAGACTATAGACTAGACTATAGACTAGACTATAGACTAGACTATAGACTAAACTATAGACTAAACTATAGACTAGACTATAGACTAAACTATAGACTAGACTATAAAATAGACTATAGACTAGACTATAGACTAGACTATAGACTAGACTATAGACTAAACTATAGACTAAACTATAGACTAGACTATAGAATAGACTATAGACTAGACTATAGAGACTATAGACTAGACTAGACTATAGACTAGACTATAGACTAGACTATAGATTAGACTATAGACTAGACTATAGACTAGACTATAGACTAGACTATAGACTAGACTATAGACTAGACTATAGACTAGACTATAGACTAGACTATAGACTAGACTATAGACTAGACTATAGACTAGACTATAGACTAGACTATAGACTAGACTATAGACTAGACTATAGACTAGACTATAGACTAGACTATAGACTAGACTATAGACTAGACTATAGACTAGACTATAGACTAGACTATAGACTAGACCATAGACTAGACTATAGACTAGACTATAGACTAGACTATAGACTAGACTATAGACTAGAACTATAGACTAGACAATAGACTAGACTATAGACTAGACTATAGACTAGACTATAGACTAGACTATAGACTAGACTATAGACTAGACTATAGACTAGACTATAGACTAGACTATAGACTAGACTATAGACTAGACTATAGACTAGACTATAGACTAGACCATAGACTAGACTATAGACTAGACTATAGACTAGACTATAGACTAGACTATAGACTAGACTATAGACTAGACTATAGACTAGACTATAGACTAGACTATAGACTAGACTATAGACTAGACTATAGACTAGACTATAGACTAGACTATCGACTAGACTATCGACTAGACTATTGACTAGACTATAGACTAGACTATCGACTAGACTATAGACTAGACTATAGACTAGACTATCGACTAGACTATCGACTAGACTATAGACTAGTCTATCGACTAGACTATCGACTAGACTATCGACTAGACTATCGACTAGACTATCGACTAGACTATCGACTAGACTATAGACTAGACTATAGACTAGACTATAGACTAGACTATCGACTAGACTATAAACTAGACTATGGACTAAACTTTAGTCTATTGACAAGTCTATAGATAAGACAATAGATAAGACCATAGGCTAGTCTATAGACAATACTATAGACAAGACTGTAGACTAGACTATAGACAAGAATATAGATAAGACTATAAACTAGACTTTAGACAAGACTATAGACAAGAATATAATGTCCATGTCCATACGAATTAAAACAAAATGTTTTTATTTATTAAAACAGTTATAATAAAATAATTAGCAAATTTAAATTATCAAAAAATCACAACAAACAATTTATTATTTCAATAGATTGTTTAACAATGACTTCATTTCTTTTCTTTTCAAACATTACGTTAAAATAATTTAAATTTAAAAAAAAACACGTAAAAGTAATTGTGAGTAAAATTATTTAGAAAACTATAAATTCATTTCATTTAGTTTAAATATGCATTAATAACAAAAAAAAAACTATATAATATCTCAAGGCAAAACTATAAACAATTTATAAGAACACATCAATTACAAAAAAATACATATTTTTAAACAAACTTCAACTTTTTAGTAAACAAAAAATTTAGTATTAATTTTTAAATAAAACTTAAGAACTATAAATTACACACACATCACTTATAATTTAATAAATAAAAATTTCTTAATTCAAATGTTGTTAATATGTAGCGTTATATTAAAGACAAACATACATATTTACATAAACTTATTTACATAGTTTTTTTTACATAAACTTACAAATCAAATAAATTTTGCAATTTCTTTCGAAAATTTGCAAAAATAAGAAAATATACTTAATTACTTTTGTTTTTTTTTTTTTTGGCTTTAGAACAATTTTAAATAACTTTGAATTCATTTTGATTTTAAACAATAACTACTATTTAGCTTTGAATTATTCAATAAATATACGAGTTATATAATAAATGTTAAAAATAGGGTTAAAACAAATTAAAAAAAAAACAAATTTTAAAACATATATAAACCGACAATAGAATATTGTTAAAATTTAGTATTTAGAAATTTATAAAACAACAAATTAACAACAATAGTTAGATACAAAAAAAATTAAAATTAATAAAAATTATAGGATTTCTTATAAATTTTCTTATTAGTATTGTTATTAAACTATTTTTACCAACTACTTATTGGTGCAATTGTAAATTAATTCTTTGGGATCACCTTTAATATGATCGAATTGTAAATTTTCAAAAGGCGGTTCACTTAATAATTTATTAAATTCAATTTCAAAGGCCATTATTGATTTTTGCAAATTAATATCGTTATTTATCTAAGAGAAATATAGGATTTTCAAAATGTCATCAAATTTAAGTTAATATAAAAACAAACATAAATGAAAAATGTCAATACAATCAATAAATATAACATTTACTGCAACAGTGTATAAAAAAGGAATAATTTTTAATTGTATTTCAGTGTCTTGCCAGCTCTAGGTATAGACTAGACTATAGACCAGACTATAGACTAGACTATAAATTAGACTATAGACTAGGCTATAGACTAGACTATAGACTAGACTATAGACTAGACTATAGACTAGACTATAGACTAGTCTATAGACTAGACTATAGACTAGACTATAGACTAGACTATAGACTAGACTATAGACTAGACTATGGACTAGACTATAGACTAGACTATAGACTAGACTATAGACTAGACTATAGACTAGACTATAGACTAGACTAGACTATAGACTAGACTATAGACTATAGACTAGACTATAGACTAGACTATAGACTAGACTATAGACTAGACTATAGACTAGACTATAGACTAGACTAGACTATAGACTAGACTATAGACTAGACTAGACTATAGACTAGACTAGACTATAGACTAGACTAG